GTTCTGCTATGAGTCATTTTTCACTTGGTTTTTCCTTATCCATCTCTTTTGCGTTCTCATTTTCTTTGGATTAGATCATTTGGGCGTAGAAGAATCATTGACAAGTGGCTTTGTTAGAGAAGAGATCATTCATTGGTATAGCCAAACTTGCTTGAAGTTGGTCATTGGGTTCACTAGGGTTAAAGATTGGATAGAGGAATATGTTACTTTGTTTTTGTAATCTTGATTTATGTGAACAAACCCCTCTCCTCTTGGCTCATCTTCTCATTAAAAAATGACCGCCTTCATTTTCTCTTCTATGCATCCATGGCCGCTTTAAAAGAGCGACGAGCGGCTGCAATGGCGGTGGTTGGAGAGCAAGTGTGGAGCACCAAATGCCTTTCTTATTCGTTCCCTCTACGATGATGCCTCGTTAGAATGTGGTGACGGCAAGCAATAACAACAACCACCGCCTTCATCTCTCCTTTGTGCAAAGGCGGTGGCAGTGGCTGGCATTGGCGTGGCTGCCGCCGCCACCTCCATCTCCATCATCCTTGTCGCACAAATTTAGAGATTAAATTAGGTTTTTGAACGTGAAGAGGCATGTGGCTCGCGGCCATCCAACTTTTTTAACATTTGATAGCTCTTGGGGCGATTTGACACATTTCGTACAATTATGGGGGCTATTTGAGAATTTTATATAAATCCAGGGGATAATTTGGATAGTTCATGGGCCAATTCTTTTTGGTAGCCCATGACCATATCAACTTCTAATTTTAGACGGCATATATGGCCAATTTTTAAGGTAAAACATCTTGACGTTGACTGTAGTACAAATGGGTGTCTCGAGCTCATTTGCCACGATGTTCGGAATGGGTCACTTGGCCAACTTTCATCGCTTCCAATGCACGGCAATCGATATTTTTGGAAAGCCAATGTTGGGGGTTCTTGAACTTTGAACTGAAGTCCCACTTCTTTAAATTTTAAAAAAGGGGAAATTCCACTCGGGTCCCAACACTACCATTAACTAGAGTTTTGGCGTTCTTAATAAACTTGTTCCCGACGCACTTATTAGGCATACTAAGGGCCCGTATGACAACTTGCTAAATAGTAAATATTTTTGTTCTTTTGTTCCCAGAATCAGTTTGGGAGCAGAAATTCGTTTGTTAAATTTTTTGCGCCCGGGCACAATTTTGCAAAAAATTGTTCCCAGAATCAATTTTGGAATAGAATCAAGAAGCAAAAAAAAGTAGCTTTTTGATTCTGTAACAATTTTTCCATTTTTGATTTTTATTGATTTTCTTCTTTTTTTTGGTTTGTTGTTGTTCTTTGGCCTGCCGCCCGTCACCCACCGGCCACCAACCACCGGACGCCAACGACTGGCCACAGGCCAAGGCTGGCGAGGGCGGCTCGCGGCCGCGACGGCGAGGCCTCGCCGTCGCCACCCAGGTCCGTCGCCTAGGTGATGATGGCAAGGGCGGCGGCGAGGGCTGCAACGCCCTTGTCGACCCTGGCCTATAGCCGATCGTCGGCGCCGGTGACCGGCCATGGCCAAGGAAGGAAAGGGAAAGAAAGAAAAAAAGAAGAAAGAAATATTAAAAAATTCAAAATATTATTAATAAAATGAAATTTTGTGTAGTTACCAAACGCATTTCTGTTCTTTTCCTATTCTAAAAATAGAAATTTTCGGCAGTTACTAAACGCCTTCAAATGCTTAGAAATTGTTTCCGGGCACAGAATAAAAAATAATCATTTCTGAGCAGAATCTGTTTCCGGGCACAGAATGGTTGCCAGCCTAAATTAGACTTGATCTTCTGACACAAAAAACAAAAAAAAATTAGACTTGATCACGAGTCTCACGGGCCTCGGGCTCGCTCAGTCCCTGGCCTGATTCATGAGGGTTAGAAGACTTTCTAGACTTATTTGGACCGGGAGCATTTAGTTGGAAAAGGCTGGCACGGCGTCTATACGTAAAAATTCTATGAGGGACGGGCTTGCAAAAAACATGTAGGCCCGTTCGCAAGGCTCACCGGACCCCCCAACGGTCACCTTTATGATGTATAAGAAAATTTTCAATTTAAAAACACCAATTACACACTTCATTAGAACAGTTAATGCATAAAAGGTTAAAATATTTTCTCATTCAATCACTTGACGAGTGGCGCGAGAGCAATTGGGAACGAATTCCATTTGCTTATTAACGAAATAAAGAAAATAAATCTTCAGTCCCTTGACTTTATGTATAATTAATATTTAGAAAATAGAAACATTTTTCGTAAATCATGCTTAGCGAGTATTCATACAACTATTAACATAACCTAAAAAAAAAAAATACACATCCACTGTCTTGTCATGTTTATTTTATTATATATAGTTAGAGTATAAGCCCCGGATATGTTCATTCTTGTGATCGCAATATGGCACTTTATTTTGTTTCTGTGATTGCCACGTGGTGCATAATTTTGTCATTTGGCTTACATTTGACCAATAAAAATTGGTTTATTAATTTGTTATCCCAAAGTTTTGTCTTTTATTGAGTTTAAATTTCAAAGAATAAAATCGATAAGAGAAAAGTATCTAAAATATATTCTCCAATTGATCTTTTAAAAGAGAAAAGATCTCATTGATCTCTTAAAAAAGAAAAGATCTCATATATATCCTCCTATATATGTATTTTCATCTTTTTGTCATTAATTTAAATTCGAAGAAAAAAGTAAGTAGGGACAAACTATTTGGATCACAAAATTGACAAAAAGTGAAAATATACAAATCTTTTGATATACATAATTTATTCGGTTAATGGAAAATTAAGCTAGAAAGAGAAGTATATTTTATTAGATAAATAATATTTATATTTGAAGTACAGCTTATTTCTACATGTGAATAAGTACACAATTTATCCACTTAATCTAAAATTATGTTCAAATAATGTGAAGGATAGCTTGCTTTCTGACTTCTTTTACTTAATGTTAATTAAGTATAGCTATTTCAATAACAACACTTTGATAGGATAAAAGAGATAAAAATTTTAGTGTAGTACTGTATTGTTCGACAGATTTTTGTAAAATACTACAATAAAAAATAGATTTAAATAATGGATAAAAAGAAATGATCTCGAATATAAATTTAGGCATTTAAAAAATTGAATGAAAGCGACATTCGAAGAATATTACACAATAAAACAAAATAGAAACGTTTGAATAAGGTAATGATTCAAAATCTTACTTTCTAATTTTTTTGACGATTCATATACCGAGCAAAACTTCGAGATCAAATTTTCAAATAGCATTGGATATGTCTAACTTATAAAAATTCTTTATTTGGTATTTTCTACGCTCAATGGGTTACAGCTCCAAACGATATACATGCAAAAGTACATGTGAATGTACGTACACCAACATATGCAAGCGCGCTAGACTAGTTAAGCGGCGATCAATTCAAATTATATGGAGTGAGCTCATATTTTTCGAAAAAATAAAAGGTAGAATTTTAAAAACACGTATTTGTCAACCCTTTCTCTAAGCAAGGACTTCGTCTTTCATTTTTTTTTTAACATTATATCTTTTACTTTTCGACTCTTGCGGGTCATGCTATTTTGCTATTGTTTGAGGGGGAATACTTGAAATGTTTTGAAAAACCTGCAATTTAAATCTTCTAATATAATATATTCGTGATACTTAAAAATTTGAGTATCATAATACAATTGTGGCCAGAAAATTAGTAAGTACTCGATTGGTAAAACCAAAAAATAAGTGCTGAAAAATTAAATAATGGATATTAAATGCTAAATTCATTAGGTGTCGGTATAGAGAGTTATTTGATAATAGATGTAAATTAAATAATAAATTTTATTAATTTCACACTCAATATGAAATAGAGAGCATTATTATTAGAAGGTTTTGACAATGTAACTGGTAAAATTCCAGTTTCCGTTGAATATATTTTTTACTTAATTTAAGCAAGCCATTCCTTACTTATCTCATCAAGTGATTTTCGACTTAAAACGAGCAATTAAAGTATGTGCAGTTAGAGGTTATCAAATGCACTTAATGATATTAAATTCATAAAAAAAATTAATTTTCGTTACTTAATGGGGTTATCAAACATGCCCAACACTACACCTTGATAAAATCTCACAATATTAAGGGTTAGTTCGTTTCATGGAAAGTGAGTGATTTGGAAAACATTTTCTGAAAAATGATTACTTATATCATTTAGAAAAATTAGTCAACGGAAAATGTTTTCATCATTGATAACAATATATGCCTAACTATTTTCATGGGTGATAAAATATTTTTCCATTAATTTATTTTTGTAAGCGATAAAAGTGATTATTTTTCGAAAAATGTTATCCAAATTACTCATTTTCCGTGAAACAAACGCAACCTAAGCTCGTCAAGATGTGTTTAGTAGTGCATAAGATGCGTATAGTTTTTTTTTTTTGGTCTGTCTTACGTTGACTCTCAACTTAATCTCAGACTTTTGTCCCGCCTCTTCACAGAACTTGAGAATCGAAACCCACATCTGAAACTAAACGTCCTTACCTTACCCTTAACCCCCTGAGAAGGTGGAGAATCGAACTCCCCACCTCCCTCTTCCTAAGAAGGAAGGGTGGCCACCGGGACATGCGTACAAATATAGACTACTCACATTTTTATGCGTAACACGTTAATCCATTCAATTAAATCGTGTTCAAGCGTGGGATTAACTCAAACCAAACGTAATCGGGATCACGTCTAATCACGTGTGTGCCCCCCCGCATGTCCAGCGAAGCCGGCCCAAGCCCACATGGCGCCCCCTTACAGATCAGACGGTGGGGAGGACACTAGGACAGGACACCAGCACCAGCACCAGCACCACCACCACCCCCAATGATTGATCACGATGCCACCTCAGCCCCGTGGGGCCCAAAAAGCGCTCCGGATAAAAAAGCAAAAAAGAAAAAGGGAAAAGACCCGACCCGACGCTCACCCTTACGGGCCGACCCGATTACTTGTCAAATCTCAAGAAGGCACGAACGACAATTTCACAGAGATGACTTGACCTAAACTCCGATAGCTTCACTCCGAGACAAAACGCCTGCCACACCCGCCGAGAAATTTCTTCTTCTTCGTCGCCGCCGCCGCCGTCGCCGCCGCCGCCGCCGAATCAGGGACTCCGTTTGAGCTGTCGAGGGCCCTAGGGAACCTCGTCGAGGACCGGAATCGCCGAGGAGGGGTTTCTCGATTGTGACTTCCGTGCTGTTTTGTTGGGATTTTCTGGTTTCTGTGGAAGGGGGGAGCGGGGGAATGGCGGAGAAGCAGGAGCGGCGGCGGCAGCAGCATCAGGATGAGGAGGAGGAGGAGGAGGAGGTGGAGGACCGGAGCTGCGAGAGCAGCGACGACTGCTATACCTCGGAGGACGAAGGGACGGAGGACTACAGGCGTGGGGGTTACCACGCGGTCCGGATCGGGGACGCCTTCAAGGGCGGCCGTTACGTCGTCCAGGGAAAGCTCGGCTGGGGCCATTTCTCCACCGTCTGGCTCGCTTGGGACACGCAGAGTTCCGTACGTCTCTCTCTCTCTCTCTCCCCCGTAGGTGAAATGGCGACATGTACTTGTTTCGTGTGCTTTGCTGCGTTTCTAAGGGAGTCGGGGAATGACACGGACTGAAGTAAAGTTAAATACTTGATAGTGAAACGAAGTGATTTTGTGCGCGTGCGTGCGTGTGTTTGGTTTACGTCTGCTAGTGAAGATTGCAGCAGGTTAGGGGGAGGAAACTAGATTAGAGACTGAAGAAATTAATGTAATTGGACATTATTGGTTGGAGAATGAGTTCCTCATATGCTATGTGCTCTGTTGAAACTTGAGTTTTCCCCATATTTTCCCAGCAAGTACACCTGTGGCACCGCTATTGTTCATAATTTCTTGTCCCTGCTGCTTTAGGTCCTGTTTAGCCAACAGATTTGAATTTTCTGATGAATGGTTCTTATATTTCTGCCTTTTCTTCCCCAAATTGTTGGAAATGCCAGCGGTATGTCGCTCTGAAAGTGCAAAAGAGCGCTCAGCACTACACTGAGGCTGCCATGGATGAGATAACCATCTTGCAACAGATCGCGGAAGGAGACCCGGATGATAACAAATGCGTGGTGAAACTGTTGGACCACTTTAAGCATTCAGGTCCAAATGGACAGCATGTCTGTATGGTTTTTGAGTACTTGGGGGACAATCTTTTGACTCTCATTAAGTACACTGATTACCGTGGACTTCCTCTTCATATGGTAAAGGAAATTTGTTTTCATGTCTTGGTGGGTTTGGATTACTTGCATAGGCAGCTATCCATCATACACACTGATCTGAAGCCGGAGAACATTTTGTTGCTGGCGATGATTGACCCGTTGAAGGATCCCAGAAAGTCGGGTGCTCCTCTTATCCTTCCTAACAGTAAGGAAAATAATGTTTCCATCGCTGGGGTTGGTAAAGATGTTAGAGCTTTGAATGGGAGTCTGACTAAAAATCAGAAGAAAAAGATCAGACAAAAGGCAAAGAGAGCTGCTCAGGTCTGTGTTGAGAAAAAAGTTTCTGTGGAAGCCGAGTTGACTGCTGAAACGTCTGCTGCAAACGATACTTGTCAGAACACAAAATCTGACTTGGGGGCTAATGATGATCAACCCACTAGTCCTTCAAAATTGACAGAGGCTGGTGGAATAAAGGATTCTGGCATGCGAGGTAATAAGAGGGGTAATCGCTCCGTGAGGCAGAAGCTGCTTGCATCTGTAGACCTGAAATGCAAGTTGGTCGACTTTGGCAATGCATGTTGGACTTACAAACAGTTTACAAATGACATCCAAACAAGACAGTACAGGTGTCCGGAGGTTATACTTGGATCTAAGTATTCTACTTCAGCTGATCTTTGGTCTTTTGCTTGTATTTGCTTCGAGCTTGCCACTGGTGATGTACTATTTGATCCTCACAGCGGTGACAACTTCGATAGGGATGAGGTATGGCATCGTCTGGAACTATTTACATTTATTTGCAGATCTTTTGTTCGTCAGAGACATTGACTTCCTTTCTCTCCATTTGGATGCTGCAAATAATCGTCCTTTGTTCTGAAGGTTCAGAAAATCATTGGATGACATTGCTTTTGTTGATTTAGCATGTTATTGGTTAAGTACCTTAAATAATGTCATACGCACAAAAACTTTAATTTTCCCATGAAGCAGAGATCATTTTTTCCGATTGTTAGAATTACATTCACAATGTCTCTTGAAGAAAAAAAGCTCTTCTAGATGCTTTTGGGTTGCTTAACAACCTAAATATTCATTAAGGAGGGAACTCGAGTGAAGATGTGTATCATTTCTTCGTAATAAATGAGTTGGACTTATCATATACGTTTTTCATTGAAATATATACGGCCATATGTATGCTTCAGAAAAGGATTAAACTGAATTATTTGAGGGGCATGCATTTTTCTGCTAATGAGATTGCTTTCCTTCTTATGGTAAATGTGTTCATTTCAGCAATTTTCTCCTTGAGATTTGTTGATAATGATGAATTCCATAACCTCTCTGCATTATCTAATAGATTCTTATCCTAAAAAGATGAACAAGAATGTGGAGTATTGTAGCTATAGAATTTTGACCATCCTAGTTTGTTTTCAGCTAAGCTAACAGATAAATTTGGAGTATAAGTTCACTTAAGTTGATACTAAATAATCTGTTTTAGGATCACTTGGCATTGATGATGGAGCTCCTAGGAATGATGCCTCGCAAGGTGAGAATGTCTCTCTGTGAATATTTTGCGTCCTATGTTCACATACACATTGTATCTAACGCGTCACATTGTGTCCAATATTAGATTGCTCTTGGTGGTCGGTACTCTAGAGACTTCTTTAATAGATATGGTGACTTGAGACATATCCGGAGGTTACGGTTCTGGCCATTGAACAAGGTTCTTCTTGAGAAATATGAATTTAATCAGCAAGATGCTGATGAAATGACCGACTTCCTAATTCCCATCCTGGACTTTGTTCCTGAGAATCGACCAACTGCTGCGCAATGCCTTCTACATCCGTGGATTAATGCAGGCCCTCGTTTGCTGGAGCCTTCTGTTCCTTCTAATCAAAATCAGGTGACTGAAGTTGTCAATTCAGAGAAATTTACCAAGGAGAAGGATGATAGGGAGGCGGTGGAAGTTGGTGTAGGAAATATTGCCATCAATTCTGATTCTCAATCCATCAAAGATTCCCCATCTGGAGGTAAAGCCCCAAAGGCAGCCACAGTTAGTTCATCTAGGTAGGATGTTTGTTTTTGTATTATTTATTTTTAGGTGCTTTTCCTCATACAGTGTTCTGCATTACTGTGATCTTCTTGTAGAAGTCCTCAGTATTTTTTTTGCCTTTGATGTACATTTTTGTCCTGCGGATAGATAAGATCAAGTCCTAATGCAGGTGAATTTCAAGCTTATTGACTGCAAAAGATGAGACTTGAATTTTCCAAGCATCACTTTCTCAGGCAAAATTATGTGGCATCATGTACCATTCTTTCATGTGTAACAGGTCAGTGTAGCCTTTGCTATCCGCTGACTTGCCCGATGTAATGAAAAGTTAATGCAATTTTTGTACCTCACACCGTTGTTGAAATTGGACTGATTGGTAATTTAAAAAATTTTGAGTTCTAATGATGGCAATTATTTTCGTACTTGATATACCAACTTTTGTGTTACTCTTGAAGTAGATACGAGCCTAAAATGTCACAAACTATTCCAAAGAGCTGGCAGATTAGAATATAAATGTTGAATACTAGAGATGTGAAGTAAACTCATATCATGTGCAACCTCTATCTTTGTTGATTGGTCTGTGCCTTCATGGACTGGGAACATTGTACTTGCTTGAACATATTTTCTTCAGTTAATCCATCTGGCTGGCTTAATTGAAATATGAAATCGGTGGGAAAGGTTGAAAAATGAAGTAGGAAGAAGCAAAACACAATGTGGAATGACATCGGACTAGCGTGGGAAGGATAGAGGAATCCAAAGGTACATTCCTTTTCTTCCATCCCCTTCTTTTAAGAGTGGAAAGCTTTACGGTAGTAGAGATGAACTTTGTAACAAATAGTGGACTTGTCAGAACAAGAATTGTGTGTTATTTTTACGCCACCTTCTTCTAGATAATTGAATGGGAAATCCCTGCATGGTTCCGCTGGCTGATAAAATTTTGCAGGGCTTGCGAGTTTCCTTATTCTCATGCAATAGGTATGATCATTAGAGGAGATATGAGGTGATGGACGCTGCAACTTTTGCTTGCGAGGTTCAGCACCTGAGCACTAGTTCATATTGTGCGGCTTGGACCAAGAGTTAATGTGATTAGACCTATTTGTCAGTACTTCTGCGTAGACTCTTAAGAGATAAGTCTAATGAGACCTTCATGCAGGACGAGTCCCAAAGAAGTAAGCTAATTTGATAAGTTGAAGATAAATCACAATGAACTATACTTCAAAACCAGTAAGTTACTTTAGGTATCGCGCCTAAAAGCTCCATACACATCACATCCTGGGATTAAAAAAAGAATCATGTTAAGCAGAGAGTTGCATTACACAATTCAAAGCAAACAATTGCTAAAATAATAGTCTTCACTCACTACTGAATCAGAAGAACTAAAAACACATGCATACTCTTCTAAATTTCTACTCCAACTTGAAACATAAAACCTTAAGAAGCATAAATCCTACTTCAAGTAGAATATAGGGACATAACTCTCTAGAGATTCTACTAAGTCAACTAGAAGAAGTTCGACCAAAAAAACTAGGAGAAGAATCCTTAGCCAGAAAAAAGAAGACTCCTAATCCAAACTGGAATTTTTTTTAGGGTTGTTAATTAATGCAACAGTCTAATTTCACTAAAGCTTGGTGAAAACATCCATGTTTGATCATCAACTTGTTTGATTGCATGAGACCTACTTACAAAAGCCTAAAATATGTATGATTGAAGTCTCAGAACTTATTAACCATTTTCTTTGCTAAAAAATGCGTGACTGAGAGATGACCTTGATATAAGCGTATCAGTTATGCTGTTCATGCGTAATGAATTTTGATCATATAGAAGGGCCTTTAGCGAGGTGTCCTCTGGTATGATGTAAGCCTCGGTTGTCTTCCTCTGCAGCGCTGTTGGATATGTAGCACATTCAATAGTCATTGCAAATCAGAGTTATATCTGTTTTATGATTCGATGATATCTGAGGAGAAATGGTCCTCTGTTCTTTGGTGTCTGTTGTAGCTGTACAATCTCACGAGGATTGTCAAAGTAGATCTAGAAGCAACATCGGTGGCTTCTGCCAAAGCCCTTTTTCTGATGGCTTGAAGCTTGGATTGAGCCAATCTCTAGTGAGGGAATGACATCTTGAAACTTCCTAGTTAGACAGTTCCTTGTTCCTGGTCTGCTTTACTTGGTTTTGTTTCCATAGGCTCATAAATAGATTCTTCTTGCACGGTAAAAAGAGATTGTTACCCGGGTATTAGTGTCACGCCCTTTTGAGTTCCAATCTCAATATGCTTTTTACCTATATTTGTTTGACTTTGTAAGAGAGAGAGAGAGAGAGAGAGAGAGAGAGAGAGAGAGAGAGAGAGAGAGAGAGAGAGAGAGAGAGAGATGATGATGATGATGCCATGTGACTGGTAGTGTGAGATGTAAGGCTTGAAAAATCATCCGACTTGGTTCCCATGTGAGGCAGAACAGAACCTAAAACTAAGCGTATATTGACAAATACTACAATGTGTCGAAAGGCATTCTTCACAAATTCCACCCTATTCAATGGCTACTGCAAAAGCTGAAAAATCTCATGAACTCATGATTATCAATCATCACAATTCTCTTCTCGATGCCAATTACCCCTGCAAAGCAATAAAAGAGACAAAACCACTACATGAATAACGGAAAGATAACAGATTCTATGCGCAAAAGAGGTGGTGAAACGTATTTAGAAGTTTCAATTCTAACGATAGAGAAGGCCAGGGAGGAGTGGGATTACCCATGGAGAGACCATGAGCAAAGTTGACACCAGACAGGATGAATACGATGAGGCAAGCTCTTCTCACGAACGTTTATCAGTTTACTCACCTAGAATTGTCCCAAGAGACCGGCCAATATCGAAACATTCACAAGATACAACGCTGCAAAAGGGCAAAAAAGAATGACCCGAAAATCACGGTTCAACGTCGACTGGAATATTGATTTTCGTCTTGTTGGGTGCTGAACTAGAAACAAACTAAGAGGAGTGCAAGTTGGAGAGTCCTACAGAAGGGAGTGGGAAATCTCTTAAGCATGTAGGACACCACCACAGACAAGGATGACAGAGAACATCATGACAGACGTTGCCGTCGCGCTAGCTACCTGTAAAACGAGAACGAGCTCCAGAGTTACGTGGGGAGAGTTGTGCGGAAAGCACACTCCAGGACCTCAAATTCGGGAGATTTACTATTTTCCTTTCTTTGATCAAGGCGAAACTGCAGTAATCAATGAGCAAATTCAAAATATTATATCATTTAGGATGCCCACTTGATGTACACCTGAATGTGTAGTTTATCATCGTGTGATGCATGCATTTTACCAACTTCTGGAAGATGAAGCGTTTCAACAAAACTTTATTTCTGACCAACAAAACAGAAAGCTCCTGCTGCATAAATTAAATAGCCAATTGTTTGCACTCTCACGGATGATTGCTGATCACAACATTTGACCGATAGTTAAGGCAACAATATCTAATTGAACTTTTCTCGTTAAAGAAAGACACTAGATAGGTATCCATCATATATACCTGAGGAATGACTCCAATCTCGAGGAGATGCGGCCCTAGAATGAATCTGCTGCCTGAACCCAGAAGACCCCCGACGCAGCCTCCTAAGATGCCGCAGAGCACACGCAGAACGCAATGTGCACTGCGGTCCACTGGATCGTGGCCTTGCATATGGCTTCGGTGTTAGCGGTGCACATAGGCTTCCTGTGCTCTCTGTACAATTTCACTGCTTCATATCCAAATACAGCTATTGCGATTGGGAACTGTTGAAGAAACAAAAGATTTAAGACATGGCAAGTTTTATTCAGGAAAATTATAGCGATGTAATCGTTAGGGAAGTGGGTTTGTTCTGTTTTTTATGTACCTGCAAGCAGAAAAGCAACCAGTACCATGCCGGATCTAGCGAGGGCAACCCTAGCTGCGTCGGGCGAGGGAAGCCCTCGCCCGGGCGGGCGAGGGTCGCCCACGCCCGACTCAGCGAGGGCGACCCTCGCCCGCCCAGGCGAGGGCTTCCCTCGCCCGACGCCGGCGAGGGTCGCCCACGCCCGACTCGCGAGGGCGACCTCGCCCGACGCCGGCGAGGGTCGACCTCGCCGGATCCGGCGAGGGCGATCCTCGCCGGCGTCGGGCAAGGGAAGCCCTCGCCGGTCGGGCGAGGGTCGCCCTCGCTTGAGTCGGGCGTGGGCGACCCTCGCCCGACTCCGGCGAGGGTCGCCTCGCTAGATCCGGCGAGGGCAGCCCTCGCCTGGCCCGGCGAGGGACGGCCTCGCCTGGGTCGGCGAGGGGCGGCCTTGCCTGTCGCCGGCCATGGGCAAGGTTGCCTTCGCCCAGCCCTTCCCGGGCTTCGCCGGTGGCCGGTCGGCCACCGGCAACCGGCCGGTGAGGGGAGAAAAGAAAAAAAAGAAACGAAAAGAAAAAGGAAAGAAGAGGAAAAAAAAAAGGAAAAAAATATTTAAAATTAAAATGCTGACTGTACATGCTGGAAAAAATTATTTAAAATAAAAAATGCTGACTGTACACGCTGACTCAGCCTCCGGCGAGCCACGTCGGTGTCAAAAATTAATAAAAAATGTCACGTCAGATTTCCGGTCAAATTGGCATTAAAGTGATCTCTTTTTCTCCGACTTGGCACCAAAGTGATCCGAAAAAAAGTTATGGCACCAAAGTAATCGTCGTACACAAGTTATGGCACTTCTGGTGTACTTTTGCCCATTTATTAGCTTAGGTTAAAAATAATAATGTCAATTAACTAGAGCTAATATTAGATATAAAGTTATTAGGGTTAAAAATAGTATGTAATGCATGAAGCCATAAGAACTAGGTTCAATGGATTCAATTAAGGCATGTGGGATAAAATAAGATGAGACTTAAGACATTTGTCTAAGCTAAAATAGTGACAAATGGAATGGTTTGATTGAAAATATGAAGATTTTAGGTTATTTTGGGTAGATATTTTACATTGTGATAAATAAACAGGGAAATCGGTATCAGTTTGAAACGCCGGTAAGAAAATTATTTTGAAACAACTAAAATTATTAACAAAATGTATAGAGCAATAGAGACACTTTAACTCAGTAAAACTTTAATGTTTGAAAATGATTTGATATGTATTTAGGAGCGTATTGGTCCCCATTGACAATTATTGTACTAATTATATATCTTTCAATAATTCTCACTGACTTATTTTCTTAAATAATATCAACCATAATGAAAATTTTGATTGTCACACTCTTGTCGATTAAGATTTGGTTGGCGAGGAAACTAAGAGTCTTATTTGATATTAGGTTGGCCACTTCAAGTCTAATTTGAGACAAGGTTCAAGGATCACTTGGGGTCCTCTTTTGAGAAAAAAGGTTCTACTTTAGACCCTTATATAAAATTTTACTCAAAT